TTAGTGTGTATCATCAGCCAGCCCTCGAAACCTTCCCCGACCCCGATACCTGGTTGCCAACCACCTTTCCTTCCCTTCCTTCGACCTGTCCCCGGATCATCTGAGAGCTCAAACGAGTTGTCGAAAAGCGTCGAGCGCAGCCGGAAACATCGCACGAATGGGTGGTCGTCAATCCACATCGCAACCTGCAGCACGGTGGTATTAGGGATAGAAACTTAGAGGGAGCACATCACCTGGAGTGTGGTTCCGAGCAAAAGAAAAGCGATAACTCTTTCTCTGTTCCGAGCCAGTGTGGGGGGTATATTAAACACTCAAATGAAGAATGAGCGCAGTCTCCAGTCCCAGTCCTGTTGACCAGTCTGTCGACGACGACACTGCCGATTTGTCACACCATTCGGGCACCTCGAAGGGATTGACCAATGCTACTGTTTCGCCAAGCGAGACACCTGATACAACGTTGGAGGAAGATGTCAAGACCAACGCTGTTCATAAAGAAAGGGGGGAGGCATCTTCAGACAAACCGGCAGCGCCCCTCAGTGCAGTAGCCACGGCGGCGACTAGCCCGCAAACCCAGCAGCAGCAGGATGAACTCGACGACTTTGGATTACCGATCCGTACGCGGCCGAGGAGGGTGGCGTCTGAAAGTGAGGGAACATGCCATGATGTTTCCCAGAGTCAGCGGAGCGAGGGCGACGGTGAAGATGGCCATCTGAGCACAGACGATATGGCGGCCAAGCAGTCAACATCTAGTGAACAGGCACCGGCAGAGCCACTGGTCGTCGGGAAAGATGACAGGGAAGGAACAGCTCAATCATCTCTGACGCCTGCCGTACAAGAGAAGGAAGTCTTACCTCAGGTTTCAACAAATCTTCCTGCGGCCTGCGAGACGTGCGAATACCCTAGGGACGAGGAGCCTCCACCGCCGTATACGAAGACTCCATCGCAAGATGATACAATGCATTCGATCGAGCCTCACAAGACGAAGCGGAAGTCCCTGGAGCCATCCGAATGGTCGCATCAGCGCCTGATCACAGCGGCAGATCATGAGGAGGAGAGTGATGAAGAGGATGACGATGGAGGCTGGAAGGAGATGCCTGCTCTGGGCGACATGGATGTTTATGACGACTATGGCCGACTTGTGGCAAAGGGCTCAAGGGACGTGGAAGGCGATGAAGCTGTTTACAGCGGCCTGGGCGGGGCCGGCAAAGGATATACTCGGGTGCAGCTTGATGACGATGCCCAATCCGCGACCAGTATGGACGAAGACACAAGCTACCTCTTCAAAGACAGCCACGCGACCTCCACTGGGGTAGATGAGGACTTGCGTGACCCCACAAGCCAGATGCAGGCTACGAAAGACCTTTTGACCGAGAGCCAGAGGATCGCATACGTTGGGGTCACCCGGCTTACATTGTGGCAGATGGCCCTGGACATGAACAGAATACCCTCCATCAAAGGCTGCCGTAAGGCGAGACAAGGTGGTATCGACTCTATGCGCAAATGGAGTCAAACGATGATGGCCAGGCTTTATTCTCATATGGAGATTGATGCAGCGGAGCAGGTCATGATTGAGCAGTTGGCGGAACACGGCGTGCAGCCCGCAGATCTCGTCCGACCGCTCATGAGCAATGCCCGCGTTAAGAATCCTCTAGCTGATGAGACTGATACACCCAAGAGATCTATGTCATCGCCTACGTCTCCTCGCCTCAGGGAAGGGTACCGAAGTAGTGTTTCAACAGAACTAGACCAGTCATCCAGGTCAACATCTCCGCCACCTTACGAGACACATGAGGGGGAAGATCTTCCGGAGGTTCGTACCCCATCACAGTTGCCTACCTCGGCCAAGATCGATATTGATCTGCGATGGACCGTGCTCTGCGATTTGTTTCTCGTCCTTATCGCCGATTCTGCCTATGATGCCCGTTCACGAACCCTACTTGAAAGAGTAGGTGAATCAATGGAAGTACCGTGGCTGCAGATTGCCCGATTTGAAAAACGTGTGATCGATGCTCTTGAGATGCAAGAGGCTGCAGATAAGGAGAATTGGGACGAGACTGAACATATGGAGAAGAGACGCAAAATGGCGCTGAAACATAAATATATGATTATGGGCTTGGCCACAGTGGGTGGTGGCCTGGTAATCGGCCTGTCCGCCGGATTGCTGGCTCCAGTCATCGGTGCAGGCTTAGCAGCCGGGTTTACCACCGTTGGTATTACAGGAACAAGTGCGTTCCTCGGCGGTGTTGGAGGCACAGCGCTGATAGCTTCCGGTGCTACACTTACTGGGAGTACGATTGGCTTGAGAGCTTCACAGAGAAGAATGGGAGCAGTGCAGACTTTCGAGTACCGCCCTCTGCACAACAACAAGAGGGTTAATCTGATTATCACTGTCTCTGGCTGGATGACCGGCAAAGTAGATGATGTACGGCTACCCTTCAGTACCGTTGACCCCATCATGGGTGATCTGTACTCAGTCTTGTGGGAGCCTGAAATGCTGCGGAGTATGGGAGACACTATAAACATTCTAGCCACGGAGGTGAGTCTATAACTTACCTGAACCGACAGCAGGGCTAACGATAAATCTTAGGCTTTAACGCAAGGTCTTCAGCAAGTCCTAGGACAGACTGTCCTAGTAGCTTTGATGGCGTCTCTGCAGCTGCCTCTTGTACTTACCAAGCTGTCATACCTCATTGACAATCCTTGGAATGTCTCGCTCACTCGCGCAAATGCGGCCGGTCTGATTCTTGCAGACTCCCTCATGGTGCATAATCTAGGGAAAAGGCCTGTCACACTTGTGGGATACTCTCTTGGTGCTAGGGTTATCTTCTCTTGCCTGAAGGAACTTGCAGACAAGGGCGCATACGGATTGGTGCAGAATGTTTACCTCTTTGGGTCGCCCATGGTGGCCAATAGGGACGAATATCTCAAGGCGCGCAGTGTCATCTCTGGTCGGTTCGTCAATGGTTACGCTTCGAATGATTGGATCTTGGGATATCTATTCCGAGCCACAAGCGGCGGTATCATGAAGGTAGCAGGCCTTGCTCCCATAGAAGGCATTCCAGGACTGGAGAACTTTGACCTCACGAAGCTGGTTAATGGCCACATGGACTACCGTACCGCAATTCCCCGGCTGCTCAAGGAGGTTGGGTGGGAGGTTGTGAGCGAGGAATTTGCAGAGATCGAGGACCCTGACCCGGAAAACCATGCCGAGCGGCAAAGGGAGCTCATTCGTGAGATTGACGAGGCACGACGTGACGCCGAGCAAAAGCCGGAGAAGAAGCGCTTCGGATTGTTTAAGCGTGGCAAACTTGCTCAGAAGAAGAAATGGGAGACATATGATGTGGATCGCAATGATACCACAGCACGGAGCTCCACGGATACCAATAACGGAACTGGGTCAGTATTGTTTGATATTGATGCCATCAGGGCTGAGCTCGCTTCAGAGAATCTCGAAGTTAGACAGCTTGAATCTACCCTTCCACCCATGAAATTAGACTTGAGCACCCCCGCGAGTCCGTCGCTGGCCCCCACACCATCGAAACCTCAAGCGACAAGGTCTTACGAGCCCAGCCCGCCTCCACCGGAGACGATTCCGGAGCAGCAAGAAAGCCATAATCCTTCCCGCCAGGCTCCACCGTACTCTCAGCATCACGAAGAGGAAGTCGAGATGACCTTTGATACTTCCTTTCATGAGCCACCGACGCGGACTCATTCCTCATTCGGGGCTTCCAACTCATATGATGCCCACCCTGCCAGACCCGAGCTTCGGTCTGCAGTCACGATGCCTGCTCTGGGTGCTAGTACCATGGGTGCTATGGCTTTGGAGCCCAACGCCTGGGCCGAACACGACATTGGAGATGGCGATGAAAGTGAAATTCAGATGACTTTCGAGTAATGACAAGGCATGAGAATATGCTACTATGACGTGAACGAGACTTTCATTCTTGTACATGCTGACGTTGCTCAAGCGCTGAGTCAGTGTCTTGGTTGACGGCCTCTTCTACCAGCTTACCCTGGGTTTCCGATTCATTTCGATTCTTCTTTGTGTCTTATATGCGACGTCTACAGCTGATATGGCCAACCGGAAAGTTTAGACTTGAAACCGCATTAATGTTGCTGATTCTGTTGCAAGCCATGCGGTTCGATTCTCCGTGTCTGACCCGCGACTTCTCCCCCATTCTTCCGGGCCAGAGGCTATCTCTGACTTGTTCTGAGGCCATTAATATTCGCCGCCCAGGGGACTCAGGCCCGATGTTTATCTTTCTGTATGGGTCTCAAACTGGAACCGATATTTGTCTACTTAATTACATATTATACTTTATATACAACATACAACTCGCATTAGTTTTGAACGTCAAGTTTGGGGGATGCCTTATTGATAGCTCCGCAAGCGTCTCGCACGACAGGGATAACCCCTGTATGGAATGTGCCTACTTTAGCTTGGTTGGGGAAACATTGTAGTACGAATTATTCAGCAGCTGTTAGTGGCGATGGCTGGTGTACTCGTATTGCATGAAGACGGAATGTGTCTTCGCGGGAGGATCTCCATCCGCCCACCGTCCAAGCTGCCGTGCGGAGAAGGGCCGCCGATAGCGTGTCACCCGCGCGCGTCCCTCCTCGACCGCATCATTCAATTCCGAATCCTCTTGCTTCTTCTTTCTCTCAAACACCCGCCCTTGTTGGACATATTATTGCTTCCTTGCCTTGATCTTCGAGTACATACTACCTTGATGGTACTAATCTGAGCTGATTACATTCTGGTTTGACATCTTCTTATCAGCGAGATTGTCGTATGTTTACCGAGTTACACCTGTCACTCCTTATACCACAAAGAAAAAGCACGCTCAAAACACCCTCCCGATATCCGAACAAGCAATACTGCTCCCAGCACACCACTCGCATGCTTATGTTGTACCCACCCACCTCTTAATTGATCTAACTGCCGAACCCACGATATCCTCTTTCCTTCTCCCCCCACGTCCGTTAAACCGCCATCCGTCATGTCGGTTACCACACGCGCCAGAATGAAGCCCAATTCGAGCTTCGCCTCGAACCGATTGACCAGAAACGACCCCATTCCCGGAGGGCATCTCCTCACGAGCTTTCGCACCCACGAGCGGAGCCTACCAGAAAGCTCGCGACCTGAACCGGCAACGGATGACGAGCCCCTCAGCACTAGCGAAGACGAAGGTCACCCCCCCACCGAGCTGTCGGACGATGAATTGGGCGAGCCGAGTCGCTATACGGTCCGAACTGGGCCTACATTGAAGGAGAAACTTGCCAGGCGCTCACCTGAAGGCGAGGAGACGCCGCGGGCTTCCCGGCAAAGACCCGCGACCAAGAAGTCGAAGCCCGCCACCTCGGACCGCAAGAGGACGTTCGTGGACACGTTCAATGGCGCAGATCTAACAAGCGACGGGGAGGATGCCCTCTTTTCGTCGCAACTTCGGTCATCGCAGGGCTCCAAGCGACGGAAGCCCGCGGTCAGCTATGGCTCGAGGAAATCGTTCGGGACGGGCTCTACACCGAGCTGGACGTCTCCCGCGGCCTCGCAGTCCCCCTCGGCTGGTGCTCGGAACGGAAAGCTGAGAAAGAATTCGACTGGCGCAAGTGAATCTCGCAGTTCAAGGGAGGAGTTTAAGATGCCGCGTGCCCTTGACTCTAGTCCGAAACCTGAATTCAAAGCGCCTCCTCCCCTTCCTCCGACTGCCACTTCCTGCTCATCGTTCGCTACTCCCTCCGCTCGTGACTTTGTCTCGTTAGATCTCGATGATAGTGACTCGTTGTCCGACGGGGCGCTGAGCTCCGCATCGTCAACCTTGCTGCAGGAGCTGTCTCGGTTCGACAATCCCTCGCTCGACTCCGATGACGAGATGTACAACTCGGAGCCTTCTCTGTGTCCGTGGTGCAAAGAGCCTGTGCCTCGCGAGCTCCTCGAACACTTTCAAGCACAGCCACAGCAACGGATGCGCGAACAACGACGATTTTGTGAATCCCACAAGAGTACAGCCGGCGTGAGAGAGTGGCAAGAGAAAGGCTATCCGACCATCGACTGGGACTTATTTGAGGACCGGATCAAGCCGCATTTGGAGGGACTCGACTGGGTCTTGGAGCCGGGAAGCTCGTCATTTTACAGAAACATCTTGGACACCAAGCTCAAGGCTGGTGAAGCCAAGAACTTCAAGCTTGATTTGCGCAGTGATGGACTGGAGGATATTTCATGCGGCTATTATGGAACGCGCGGTTCTTCCCTGATGTGAGTGGCCCCCTTCCTCTTGTTGCTCCGTTGCGCCGACTAATGCATCACTACTCTAGGCTCGAATGTATTATGGCACGGTATGCTCGCAAACTGCGTCGCCTCGGCCCTCAGGACCATATTATCAACACGGCAGGCGTCGCCGGGTATGCACAGGCCGTTCTGGTCCCTGAATTGGCGATGAGGCTTGTCAAGGAGGACATGCAGGTGGGTGACGAGCGGGCGAGACAGATTCTACGCGACAGTATGGAGCTCGGCGAAACTGTGAATCCTGCATTGAATGACAAGATCACGGTTGAGGAGCCAGATGAATCGAACGTGGAAGAGACAGCGTCTGTTTGACTGTAATCGGCGGCTTGATGATTGGGCGGGAAAATCTCTCTCTTTTGTCTCAGCCTATCTGTTACTCCTTGCATGGTCATTTTTGTGCATCGGTAGGGGCGTGTTGGCGGTGCGCTGTACGTATGTATATTCTATGTTCTACGATTGATACCTATCTGTTTGAGTGAAATCAGCCTGGGGCTCTCATCAGCGGAATGTTACGTGAAAAGCAGGAAGTGGATTCTTGATGATGATGGCGTGCGATTCCGTGATTGTGAGTAAATAAGTTGGGAGACTAGTTGGTTACAGTAGATACATTAACTACAGTAGTTACAGTCCATGGAACGGAATGAAGGGTGCCGCACTGCCGAGACTATCACGGTGTGGAGCTGACGCTAGACCAGGTTTAGCAGGTGACTGATAGTGCCAGCCGTGCAGTCACTGCAGTGATAAGATAGACGCTGATTCATCTTGCGGAGATCCAAACTGGAGCTGATAACCAGACCAACCCATTCCTCGTCGTCATCTCACCTAGCTTCCCACTTGCTCTTCCTTCCCCTCCTCCTCCTCTTCCTCCTCTCCCTTTCTCTCTCTCTTCCTCATTCTTCCTGCGATGGGTGCTGGCTAGCTAGCTGGTTCTTCTATCTTTTGTCTCTTCCATCATTGGGTCTAGATTGATCCATTTTGATACACATTATGGTACCCGAGATGAGGGAGAAAGCCATGGCTCCCTCGGAATCCACTCCGTTGCTCACCACTGTCGCTATCGCGCCTCGGCGGTACCGATACCCTCACCACGCCCTTCGACGATCCTGTAATTTCGTCCTGGGCTTTATCCTTGCTGTCTCTGTCCTTCTCTTTCTCGTTCCCTCTGCCATTCTCCCCCGTGAGCATGGGTCCATCTGGTCCTACCTTCCCTGGGCGAATCCATTCCCTCATGCCTCCTGGCCTCACGGCCATGGCCTGGGCTTCGAAGAGCTGCAGGCTCTGCTCCATGAGACCCCATCCGCCGAGAAGGCACGGGAATGGAGTAGCTACTACACCGCCGGTCCCCATCTAGCTGGCAAGAACCTGAGCCAGGCCGTATGGACTCAGGAACGCTGGCAGGAGTTCGGAATCGACGACACTAGTATTGTCGCTTATGACATCTTCCTCAATTACCCCGTAGATCATCGCTTGGCCCTGTTGAAGAGGAACGGCGATGCCACCGAGGTGACCTTTGAGGCCACCCTGGAGGAGGACATCCTCGAGGAAGACCACACGACCAACCTGACGGATCGCGTGCCGACTTTCCACGGATACTCGGCGAGCGGGAACGTCACGGCGCCCTTTGTGTTTGCCAACTTCGGCACCGTGTACGACTTCCAGGACCTGATCGATGCGAACGTCAGTCTGGCCGGCAAGATCGCCATCTGCAAGTATGGCCGCATCTTCCGCGGGCTAAAGGTCAAGCGGGCGCAGGAGCTCGGCATGGTGGGGGTCATCCTGTACGATGACCCGGAATCAGACGGGGAGATCACCGAGGAGAACGGCTACGAGGCGTATCCCAAGGGTCCCGCGCGGAACCCGAGCGCCGTGCAGCGTGGTAGTACGCAGTTCTTAAGTACGTAAACTCCTTTTTCCTACTTTCAGCTGCATCCTGGCTCCGGTGTGACTGATCATGACAACTAGGCATAGCGCCTGGTGACCCGACTACCCCCGGGTATGCCTCCAAGCCCGGCTGCGAGCGACAGGACCCGTTCAACTCGATCCCGTCCATTCCCTCGCTGCCTATCTCGTACCAGGAGGTGATCCCACTTCTGAAGGCACTGAATGGTCATGGTCCCAAAGCTTCGGACTTTAACAAGTGGTGGCAGGGCGGTAAGCTGCGTTCCAAGGGTGTAGAGTATAATATCGGTCCTACCCCCGATGATGTCGTCATCAACTTGTACAATGAGCAGGAGTATGTGACGACACCCCTCTGGAATGTTATTGGGGTTGTAAAAGGCCACATCCAAGATGAGGTGGTGATTCTGGGCAACCACCGCGATGCGTGGATCGCTGGCGGCTCTGGCGACCCCAATAGTGGATCGGCCGCGCTGAACGAGGTCATTCGCAGCTTTGGAGAGGCCCTCAAGGCGGGCTGGAAGCCGCTTCGAACCATTGTCTTCGCCAGCTGGGATGGTGAGGAGTACGGGCTGCTGGGCTCGACCGAGTGGGTGGAAGACCAGCTCCCGTGGCTCTCTAAGGCCAACATTGCCTATTTGAACGTGGATGTGGCTGCGGCCGGTACTCTGCTGGAGCCACGGGCTAGCCCGCTGATGAACCAGCTTATCTACGAGGTGACCGGCTTGGTGCAGTCCCCCAACCAGACTGTGCCGGGGCAAACCGTGCGGGATGTCTGGGATGGCCATATTGCTACGATGGGTAGCGGCAGCGACTTCACAGCCTTCCAGGACTTTGCGGGCGTTGCTAGCTACGATCTTGGCTTCGGACGTGGTCCCACGGATGCTGTGTACCACTACCACTCGAACTATGATAGCTTCGATTGGATGGACCGGTTTGGCGATCCAAGCTGGAAGTACCACGAGGCATGCACCAAGATCTGGGCGCTCGCCGCGGCCAAGCTGATCGAGACCCCGATCATTGCCTTCAATGCGACTGACTACGCTCTGGGGCTGGAGCAGTACCTCAGCCAGATCAAGCCTGTGGCGAAGCAGCTCCCCAAGGGCACATCGTTCGACTTTGCGCCTCTGGACCAGGCTATTGCGCAGTTCCAAGCGGCGGCCGCGCGGTTTGAGGCCCATGCGGCGGACCTGGCCTCGCAGCTGGGCGAGGATGTGCCGTGGTACCACTGGTGGAAGAAGGTCCGGCTGCTCTTCCAGATCCGTGTGGTGAACGACAAGTACAAGAGCATCGAGAAGCAGTTCTTGTACCAGCCGGGGCTGGATGGCCGCAGCTGGTACAAGCACGTCGTGTTTGCCCCAGGCATCTGGACCGGCTATTCCGGGGCAACTTACCCGGGCCTGGTGGAGAGTCTGGAGGCGGGCGATCTGACGAACTCTCAGGTATGTTCTCGCTCGCTACTGGGAGAATGTGAGGGATGTTGCTAACCTGTTTCCAGAAATGGCGCTCAATTATTCTGGAGCGCATCGAAGCGGCCACTCGGCTGCTGCAGTAGAGTATGTGTATGAGGGGGCCTGCAGGATTGCCTGCCAGCTGACCGGGAAGTGCATGCATGCAAGGACCAAGCGAGCGGGGATGGCGGATTGGAGATTGTTTCCCCTTGTAAACTGAGACTGTCTGATTGTAGACAATTTCTGGTAACTTATAAGCTGTTGGGACATCAGTTGTTGAAAGGCAAGACCAATCAACTATTAAGGTCAAGTCGGATATAGTTGATGTTTCTAGCAGTTTGTTCTATTTCCATAAGCATCGACATGTAGGTTAACATGACACGGACGGGGATCGGAATGTAGTCTCGATGCGCCTTAGAGCAGATAAGCAGCCAATTAGTTAGAGCATGTAAGCTGAAAAACACCCCGAACAATGAATGAATGATCGATTCGGAGAGTGGGTTTTTTGCATGTTGATCATCTCTCCGGTCACACGCCCTCGCGCCGCCTCTGCCTCGACTGGTTAGTCTCTTTCCGTCTACTAATTCTCTCTCTCCTCTTCTTTCTTCCTCCCAGATTTCTTTCTCTTTTTCTCTTCTCTGCACCCACTCTTTGACCTTTTGGTCTTTTCTCCTTTTCCTGCACAGTTGACCCGGTCTCACCAGGTCAGCATGTTGAAGAAAACCCCCCAGCTGCCCGTGCGGCAGCTGGTCATTCTTTGTAAGTCAAGAAATCTGCTTCGGCTGTTGTTACACCCACCCAGTCAACATCTCACGTCCAAAGAACTCTCCTCGACTGACCGGGTCATTTACCACAGCAATATGTCGCTTCGCAGAGCCAGGTATGCATATTTTATGCCCTCTCCATTAGAATCCGATTGCGCGCGACTCGTCCTTGCGTTGCATTTACCATCCTAACAATGTCCCCCATCATCACCATAGTGGTCCTCACCTCGGTCCTCCCCTACCTAGTAAGTAACATCCCCCCCGCAAACCCCAAACTCCAATCCAACTAAACCAACTCCCAAAAAGCCCGAGATGATCGAATCCGTCGGCGTCCCCAAACCCGAGATCGCCAAATGGGTCGGCATCACCGCGGCCGTGACCTCCTTCAGCCAGGCCGCCATGGCCGTCACCTGGGGCACGCTGTCGGACACGGTCGGCCGCAAGCCCGTCATCCTGACGGGGCTGACCTGCACGATGGTCATGTCGCTGGTGTTCGGGTTCGCGCGCAGTCTGAGTTTGTTGGTCGTCGCGCGCGGCCTGCTCGGCCTCCTGAATGGCAACGTCGGCATCATCCGCACCATGGTCGCCGAGATGGTCCCCGAGAAGGAGCTGCAGCCGCGCGCCTTCAGCATCATGCCGCTCGTTTGGACGATTGGAAGTATCTTTGGGCCCGCGTTCGGGGGCGCGCTGGCCCGGCCCGCCGAAAAGCATCCAGAGGTGTTCGGGCGGTGGGAGTTTTTGCGGACGTATCCGTTTCTACTGCCGAATTTGGCGGCGGCGGGGTTTTTTGTGGTGGGGATTGGGACGGGGTTTTTGTTTTTGGAGGTGAGTTTTGCTTCGTATACCTACTGTGAGAGGGGGAGGGGGGAAGGAAGTGCTGACGGATGCTCTCGTGGGGCCGCTGATTAGGAAACGCTGGCTGCAAAGAAGCATCAACGCGATTATGGGCTTGTGCTGGGTCAGGCTTTGACGCGGCCGTGTCGGAGTGCCAGATCAGACAAAAAGTCACGGTCGACAACAACCATCACAGAAACCGATGAGGAACGAACGGCGCTGCTGGGCCAGCGCCGCGCAACCACGCGCACCAAGCCAGCCCGGAAACCCAGCTGGGCGGAGGTGTTCTCCCCGCAATCCAACCTGATTCTGCTGGCGTATTCGCTCATGTCGATGCATACCATGGCGTTTGACTCTTTATTTCCCGTCTTCCTGCACACGCCGCCGCAGCAGTTCGAAGGCAACCCGGACGTGCGTCTGCCGTTCAAATTCATTGGAGGGTTCGGTGTGGGTGGGTGTTTTCATCCTGTGCTGTTTCGGTCACGTACGTGCTAACTGGCCATCAGACTCCCAAACCATCGGAATCTACTACACGTTGATCGGCATCATCGGCATGATGGTGCAGTTCCTGATCTTCCCCGCGGCCGCCAAGCAGTACGGCGTGCTCAACTGTCTCAAGGTGGTCTCGATCATCTTCCCCGTGATTTACCTGTTGACGCCATTCACGGCGCTCGTGCCGGGGTCCCTGCGCCACGTGGTCGTGTTTCTGCTGATGCTGGGCAAGCTCTCCGCCTCGATCTTCGGGTTCCCCTGCACGACGATCCTCCTCACCAACTCGGCGGCCAGCCTGAGTGTCCTGGGGACCTTGAACGGGGTGGGCACGAGCGTCAGTGCCATTGGGCGCGCGGTGGGCCCGGCGCTGACAGGGTCGGCGTTTTCTTTTGGCGTAAAGCGGGGGTTCATCATCATTCCGTGGTGGCTTCTGGCGGTGTTTGGAGCTGTTAGTGCCGTTCCGGTGTTTTGGACGGAGGAGTCCGATGGGTTTCATGGGAAGGAGGAGGAGGTGGTGGTGGTGGTAGAGGTGGAGGGTGTGGAGGAAAGCCAAACTGTTGGATATGGAGCTGTTGAGAACACGGCTAGGCGGTGATGAAGTGAGTAGACATGAGCTGGTGGTATAAAAAAGGGAAAGGGAGAAGGGAAAAGTTTAAATGATGCGATGAGCTTGTATATGCTTGCTAAACGGGTTATGTGACATATGAAATATGAGATGTGATAGAAGTCGACGAAGACTAGCTATATTGTTGGTGATGTATACAGTACAGTAGATGATGTATAAAGGCGGATCCAGACTCGCCGATCCGCCGGGCCCGGAAGCCCGAACGAAGGAGGAAGGAAGGGAAGGGAAGGCATTACTAATTCCCATGCAACCCCGGATATCAGACCATTCCGCCGGGAGTGAAGTACGAGCATATAATAAGCCTGGAAGTGGCCGGTGCCGATAACCATCTACATATCTGAACACCAACACCAACACCAACACCACAACTCACCCTTGTATCTGAAACCCTCTTCAAATCACAACTCCATCACAATGGTACGTCCACTGCAGCATTCCCCATTTCCCCCAAATCACCACCACCCAATTTCCAACTCAATCCAATTTCACCCAGCTATCTAGCTACCCAGCTATCCAGCTATCCAGCTAGCTAGGAAGCTATCATCAATCTACCCTCACTCCTTATCCCCCTCACAACCACAACCACAACAACAACAACCACCCGCCTTCTCCCCTCCTTCTTAAATCCTCTGCCCCACAGCCCCAAAACCTATTGATAAAATTAACCAGAAGGATAGTCAACCACAGCCCTGACCCTCTCCCTCCTCACCTCCCTCGGCGGCACAATCGGCTACCTGCGCACGGGCTCGGTGCCCTCGATCGCGGCGGGCCTGACCGTCGGGCTTCTGTACCTGGTGAGCGGGCTGCGCCTGCGCGCGGCGCAGCCCTACGGCGCGGAGCTGGCGCTGCTGGCCTCGGTGATCCTGTCGGGCAGCTCGATCCCGCGCGCCATCCGGACCGGCGGCAAGCCCGTGCCCACTGTGTTGAGTTTCGTGGCGGTTTATGGGCTGTGGGTTTTTGGGGGGTTGGTTTTCAACAATACTGGCAGATGATTATTGGGTTATGGGGGTGGTTGGACTGGACCCGGTTATGGATGGGATTGAATGCATTTAACTTGACTACCCTTATTTATGGGTTGGTACCGGGGGGGGGTTATGGTTTGTCTACGGGGCGAGGGTTATACGGTTGCTTATACGTAGCAAAAAGCAATAATGATAAATGATTGGGGTGGATACTTCCACAAAATCTACCGACTTGTACCGACGACTACTGATCAAGATCTGATTTTTTCAATATTCAAGTGGCCTACCTTCTAGACGCAACTTACATAGTCATATAGCACCTCGGCCTCCATACTAAACGTCCCAATCTTGTCCCCAACCCTCAATCAATCGAGTAAAATCCCTGGAATCGTCGATTCGTTCGATCTCGAAGAAAGTAACAAAGCAAAAGGTTCTGCACTCACCAACTACTCTTTTTCTTGCTGCATGCACAGTCGGTGCTCACTTTTCCGAAGGAGAAAATGAAGGCCAAGCCCAAAGGTCAGGGGTCACGGCCTACCACTGCCACCGAGTCAAGTAGTAGCAACAACAAGACATTGCCAGTTTGGTGTGCGTGTGTGTGTGCGTGTGTGTGTGTAAACAGAAACTTAGCTGATGTGTATGCACTGAATTTCTTTTTTTGTTTTCTTGAGAACTTTTCTGCTTTGCTTTCTTTTCTTCTTCGGCATGTGTTTGTGTCTGCGTGTACGAATGTGCTCGCACTAATCCGTCGCATCCACCACCGTGTCCGACTCCCGGATCGCCCCCACCACCACGGCGGATGGAAGCTCTTCAAGTACCGTCTCCCCTCGCTGGTCAGGAACATATGCGTACCTTGACAACCTAGCCATCTTCTCCTCCGGGCTGGTCTCGTTATCCGAATACACCAATCGCGCCTTAGACTTGTCCTTCTTGGGCTTTTGGTCCTCGCCCTCGGCCGGTTTGCCGCCAGTCGTGTTCGTCGTGGTCGTCGTCGGTGGTGTCGCCGTCGCCGTCGCCGCTTCGGCCTGCTTCGCCGCCCCGGAGATCAAATCGTCCACGGATCCGGAGAACCCGGTGCTTTCCGCCGCCGCTCCGGGAGCCTTGTCGGCGCCGTTCATGGTGGTCGTCGGGGGCACCGTGTGGCCCATGTGCATCTGTTGCATTTGATAGGCGTTGACCTGCGGTGCCCCCACAGCCGGACGCTGAGGGAGACCAGGCGCAGCGGGCAATCCGACAGGACGGGGTGGGAATGCGCCCCCGGGCTGCGGAGGAGTATGTGTTTGGGGAGGGGACTGTTGCGTCGGGTATGTCGGAGGTGTGGCACCGTACGGCGGTTGGCCGGGAACTCCAGTCAGGAACGGCTGCGGGGAGAAGGTCGTGGGAGGAGCGGCATACTGCGCATTCGCCTGGCCACCGGGCGAGAAGGTCGGATACACGGGACTGGCCGTTTGTTGAGGGGGTTGCTGGAAGGGAGAAGCGGCGGCGGCGGCGGCGCCGTAGGGCTGAGGGTATGAGAATTGAGAGGGAGTGGTCGCAGGCGGCGGGGCAGTAGACGTTGCGGCCTGTCCGAAAACGATATGGAATCAGTATACGAAGTCGAATGGATTCAAACAACAACGAATCACTTACGTATCCACCCATAGTTGGTGTCTGACCGGCTCCCACAGGCGTAGCCTCGCCACTGCTGCCGCCCGCACGCGCTTCCGCCATCTTCGCCTTGTGTTCCGCCAGACGTTTCTTAAGGTCTGAAACGCTCTCCAGCTTGGGCTTCTTCGCCGGCTGACCGCCCGTCGCTGTCATTCCGGGAGGCGGATTGCCCGTCACGGCCTGCCGCTCGGCCTCTGCCTGCTGGAACTGTGTCGCTACCCGCTGGTTGTGCGCCTGGATGATATCCTCGGGAACACCCTCCATCCCGAAGATCTCGACGTCGAGACCGGATCGGTTCGGGAGAGCATTGTCGACTGCCGACAGCTGCTCCTTATGTACCTGGCTCATGTGCACGGACAAGCCTAAGAACCAAGGACCCAGATTAGACAATGGCTTCCTCGTCTTGATATGATAATGGAGAACTCACCTCCGGCGGTGTTCAGTCTGCGCCCACATCGCTCGCACTTGAAGTGCTTGGCTTTTTGATGGGAGATAAGGATCTTGAGGTCATCGAAGTCGCGCTCGCAGTAGTAGCACCACGGACGAGCCAATACTTCTTCTAACGTGGGTCCGCGTCTCTTTTTACCCATGGTGTGACTGTGAAGCTGGCCGCTTCGTGAGAGTTGAGAAGGAGAAAAAGGTGGGTGGAGTAGACTGTAATGCAGAGGTTCTGGTCGCGAGTGAGTCGCCGCTGATGAGATTGAGGTTGGTTCGGTGAGCCTTGTCACGTGCAGGACATGCGTTGACAGTCACATGATACGACATCATAGCTTAGTCCTTTGGGAAGTGATATATCAGGTTAACTCTCGCTAACTAGTGAAGCAAGTATCATCAACTAGATAAGCGTATGTGATCAATAATATCTTTTCTTTTTCAGTCATAGTTCAGACAACTTAAAGCAAGATACCTCCATATGACGGGGTCCGCTTGATTAAGGTCTGTCTCAGATCTGATCAAGACTTTGCATGTGAGAACCACAACGTTACGCAAATCAACATTCAGGAACAAAACAACAGCACAAACAACTAAGCGATGTTTGTTAGAATCAAGTCAGTGTTGCTCGACAGTCAATATATTACATCTAATAGCTTTTTATGCTCCAAGCCAGCAATTCTCCATCCAACGATGTACAGTACATACCCGCGAAGCCTCGAAATCTTAAATCGATACACCACAACAGACCTGTTGAACCAACCCAGAATCCCACAATTATACAGCAGAATCAAGCCCCGGCGCCAATCGCTAGCAAGACACAAATAGAAGGGACAAAACAGACAAGCACTGAGACGCGAGTCTCCCGGCTGCCTCACAAGGATGGTAGTACATATGCACAAGAATCATTGTAGTGTACATGGTGCATCTAACTTTTTCCTAGGAACTGCGCAACAGATATTTTAATGATAAGGTCGACCAAGATCTAGGCAGGGCGTGGGTGGCCAGGTGGTGGTGGTAGCGTGGGTGCGTAAGGACTGTAATACTCCGGATAAGGTGTGCGGTAAGGTTGAGGTGCCGGCTGTTGGAATAGAGTGTGAGGTCCAGGGAAAGGGACTCCCCGGGTGTCAATGGGTGGGTAAGGGTTCAGAGGAGGTCGCGGTGCAGGCAACGGCGCCAACTGAGGATGAGTCGGGTGACTGGGAGCTAAAGTAGGAGGGGGTGCGGCAGGCTGAATGGGAGCTGGAGCCGGTGCAATTCCCTGCTCGATCCTCGGGCCTACATAGCCCGGACTGTCCATTTTCTTCTTTCGTGGACCGACTTTGGGCGGTTCGGTAGCTTTGCGGGCAGCTTCGGCCGCGCGATCCGCCTCAATTTGGGCTTTGGAACGTTTGGGATTGCGAACCCGACCCTCTTTATTGAACCGGGCCCAATGGTTGAGCATAGCTTCTGTCCGCTTTGGATTCTTCGAGTTGGCAATTTTCTGTCGTCGAGCAAGCTCCGCAGGGTCGATCGAGTCTTCCGGGGTGCTCCCGACTGGAGTGCCCGCCGGAGGTGCAGCTGCTTGGTTATTACTCGGCGCTGGCTCGATAGGCGTCAGTTGAACTGTGCCAGGTCGAGTCTGCAGGATGGCGGTTGGCTTCTCGATGCGAATTGTCGTCGAGCGAGGAGGGGCCACTAGCGCTGGCGCTTGAGACGGGTCAGACGGGCCATTGATCGTGATGGTACGAATGCCACCTCGCCCGCGCCCACGGCCGCTACCACGGCCGCGCGTGGCAAACCGGATGGGCGGAGCGGAAGCGGAGTCGGATTGATCTTCGAAATCCGTGCCTTGGCGACGGGTGCGCGTGCGCCGTTGACGTATATTCTCCTCTGGTTCCACCGGAGCGGGTGAGTCTGTTGCGGCCTCGTCTGAGACCGACGACGCCTTTTCTCTGTTGGCTGCCTCCAATTCCGCGGCTTTTCGCTTGCGGGTAGCCTTGCCGACAAAGTCCTCCCGAGGCGGGTTCTGAAATTTAGGGACGTGCTCGACGCCGAATTTCGTTATAGTAGGCCAGCCATCTGGGTTGGGATGATTGGGCCCGAGCTTGGCGGTCATCTTGCGATACTGGGCCGGAGTAGGTTTGAAGCCGCCCTGGGTGAACGGATTCTGCCAGCCCACCTTATCTTCCTTCGGCTCATGCTTGTATCCGTAGAGCATAGCCTCTTTCTTATCCTCAAAGACTTGCGGCCTGAGTAACTTTCTGGGATCGCTGATTGGTTTAGCGCTGTGTCGTGTGGCGTGCTTGTTCAGCCTTTCGATGGCCATATACTCATCCTGCCATACCTTGAGAGCGAAAGCGACGTTCTCAGTGATAGCATAGAGTTCCTCGTAGGAACGGTGCTCAGGGTCTCGAAGCTGACTCAAGAAATCCTCGAGAGGCGTGATTTCAAGAAATTCTCCTGGAGAGACCTTCGATTTTTTGTAAGGTTCTGGTCGGTCTTGCAGCTCATCAGGGGCTTCGCGCTTTCGAGGGCGTTTCGATTCCTTGACCAATGTAGTCCAGGAGTGTTCTAGATTAGCAGTCTTTTCATCATGATCACTGCAGAATTGGTGGACATTGTGAACATTCCAGAGGTTATGGAGGCGTTGGTCTAATGTCACGGGATCTTGAGCGCGCGAAAATTCATGCAACTGGCTCGACACATCGGCCTCGGCAACCTCTGGCTCTTCGCCATCCGCATCTTCTGGTAGCTTGTAGTTTTCGTCGTCGACTTCAGTAGTATCGGCCACCCCATTTTCTAGCGTATGATTTGCATGATGGTCATCATCATCCTCAGCTTCGTGAAGGTCACTGGCGTCAATGTCTGCATTCTCATCCACGCTTTCATCTTCCATTTGCTCCTCGTCGTCGTCAAGCTGTGACTGGTCATCGCCGCCTTCCGCGACAAAACGCGTCTTGGGCGCAGCAATGTGCGGATGCGCAGTGGAAATGTGGGCTTTCATAACATTATTTTGGGAATCAGAACCTCTGCTATACTCAAGGAGCTTTCCGCACAAAGTGCATTTGGTCCATTGAGTTACTGGGGAGGGGGATGGAGAGGCCTGGGTTGAGGTAGACCGAGCATTGAGTGGCTCGGAGAATTGTCGGCGCAGAGGGGAGTCCTGGCTGGCCATGTCCGAAGTATGGCTGTCCATTTCAAAGTCGCTTTGAGCGACAGAATCCATGGCAACACCAGCAGAGACTATCAAGAAGCAGATTCGGGAAAATATTCAATAGAAAAGACAAGTTTTCTCGACGAAGGGGACACGCGGATCGCCCTTCTCGATGCCCAAGACTGGGGATCTGGAGTCGCGTTAGTGAAGGAACTTGGGGGTTGAAAAAGTTCGCTTGTAGTGCCAAGCCGCCAGAAGTAACTGCAGCGCAAGCTTCTACACCAGATGTCCCGAGAGGAAGGGTGAGCAAGGCGAGGCCCCAAAACACAATCGCTGATTAGGGGAGCAGGAACACTGGTATAAGCATTGGGCAGCCTCCTCGCGATCCATCACGGATCCAGCGTTGACAGAAACGTGGCAGGCAGGCTGGTGTAGGCACAAGGAGGCAAAAGTATGGCTCAAGCAGGTGATATGTAACATACCTTTGTGAAAACTGAAACAGAGCCAGTCTGTGTTGCAGAGCCAGAGATTGATAGTCAAGATGGAGGGAAGAAGAAATCTCGCTAATAGACTCGAGATATGACTGGGTAGAACAACGATGTGTTGTCTACAGGAAAGAGTAGAATGTGGGTGGTCGCGAAGGGTGGACAGGGATAGTAGAAACTTGTACTTCTGGAAATGGAAAAGTAGAAGTCGAGCGGGTGAGCAGGGAAAAGAAGAAAAAAAAAAGAAACGATGATCTCAATCCCGGGCCAAACAGAGGTCAGAGAGAGTAAATAGAGTCGAAAGACAAAGGTAGGGGTACGTGTGGAGGAGAATTGATACGAATAGTAGATAGCAAAGCAGAGCTTGATGAGGGTGACGCGAGTGGAGAGAAACTAGTCAGGTGTGTGGACACTGGTGGTAACAGTGGGAAGTATGAAGTCTGCCGGACTGGTAGTAGGCAGGTGGGCGAAAGGAAGAAGGGAGAAGAGGGTGAAAAAGAAAGGGAGATGACGGTAAAATTAGGTGGGTAGAAGCAATAGCAGTAGATAGCAGTGGGAGAAAAATTCAATACATGATCCGAGGTTCAAAGCAAACAGTAGGAGAAGCAAGTTAAGAGAAGATTGTGGGATGTAGTAGTCGAAGTTGAATACTTTGGGGGGGAAAGGAAAAGAAAAAGCGACTAGAGTTTGTAGACTACTACAGCCAGCAAGTCAAGTCGCCTTCACTCACTGGAACTAACTACCTGTAAGTTAGTACTGTAGTAGAACTGGCACACACACACCAGACTGCGTGGTAGGTTAGTAGTAATAGTAAGGTAAGTCTAACTAACCAAACTAAACTGTTGTAGGTAAAGTGAGTCTGAAGGTAAACCAATTTCGTACCTCGCCGTGACCGTACCTTACGCCGAGTACCCTTTTTCTCTACCACTCTGGATCCACGCCCGCAGCGAATCTCTGACTCTGGATGTTCCGGAACAAACCCATCTTCCGGTTCCGATTCCTCATGCAGCCATCTTAATGGCCCTGGGAGCCAATGACAGCCACTGTAGATGTCTATCCCAGGTGATTACCTGACGGTAACTGGTATTTCCCGCAATAAAACCAATTTGCCCATGGCAAGACTACCGCGTCGGTCATTGACTATCCGTTTCATCTCCCTCCTCCCATCTTTCATCTTATTTACCTAGCCTAGTGGGTTTCTTGATTGATATGCTGCAATATAAGACTGTGCCAGGTACAATTGAATTGATATCTGTCTCATGTGAACTGTACAGTACATGTTGAACTGTGTCTAGCCAACAAGAAGCTCAGCGTCTTCCGCGCTATTATCGGAATTGATGCTTGGTACGGAGTAAGTATCGTCACCCGATGTACGTGACATCATCTTAGGTAGTCAATAGTTAGTGAGAGGGAGAAGAGAAACCAGATCCAAGTAGTAGCGGAAGCTGGGTTAGTATACTATGAGGGGAAAAAGTCTCAACACCCTTGTCGACAATGGCCTGATTGACTGCGGAAATCCTCCTGATGGTTTAGACCCCTACCCCCTTGGCTTGTGGAATGTGCCGGAATGAATCCGTGGTGAGCGCGCACTTTATACTACCTTTCATGTAAAGACGAGGGCGGGAATGTATCGGGTAACTACTGTGTATGCTATGGAAATGTTATTATGCCTATGCCTTGTTGATGACACTTTTTGGCTCGGTGGGCCCGGTTTCCTCGCGGTTGTTTATCGCTAATCGACTATATTCACCTTGTATGTTGTACTGGTAAAACATACTCCTCGGAGCAACAACACCGAACAAAACTGACAATACAGGTTTAATCACCCCGTGGCATTATGTCGAAGATGGAAGGTCCAGCTGCCGAAGATTAAAGATCTATGGAGATACCATCCAATTAGACATGCCAGCATTTAGCATGATTCCTCTCTCCCACATCCAATGCAACCAAAAAGCGACTAACACCGTTGTAAGCCGCTACCGTCGCCGTAATTTCCACCACCTGCTTATCATCGAAACACTCCTTGACCTCCTGGAAGATCTCCTCCGGCACCTTGACCGTCTTGGTCATAGCGTCCGTATACTTCAGCACCACGCTTTCCTCCCTGCTGAGCACCCTTTTCTGTGCCTCTGGACAGATGTCTGGTTGCCGAATCAGCTCTAGCGCTTCGTCACTGAATCCTCCTGCCTTCAGCAACGGAGCGTGCTGCTCCCACTCGAACAAGGCATCATTGAGGACAGCCACACGACACATGATCAGCTCACGGATAATGGTCGAGAGACTCGTCCTCGTGCGAAGGGCGCCCATAAATGAATTCCAGCCATCCGTGACTGGAAACGAGTGCATCAGTGCCAAGTCCAGAGGTAGCAGCGTTCCAGGGGCACGTCGGGCTTGCGTTTGTGCTAGGATCTCAGCTTCCTCGGCATCGCTCGTCTCTGGGGGGTTCGCAACATATGGGAGGCGCATGATGAATGATCGGGCTATTCTGGGGGCCGGTCGACCGACAAGGTATGTCCTCTGCATGTTGTTAACTTCTTGAGTGCCACGATCTATCTAGTGTAGGGGTGTAGGGACCTTGTACCTGTAGTTGATATCGGGATACTTGCGGCTCAACTGGCGATGACTTTCCGGGTGGAAAGGTCTGATTTGTGTGGTACAATGAATGCGCAAGTCGATGGATGCAAAAGAAGGTGGGCATCAATTTATTTTATGCCATGCGTCCTCTTTATCTGTAATCAATCTCTGTCCGCCGGCAGGTGGCCAGAAGGGTCGCTGGGCGCCAATGGAACGAATAGTGCGCATTTTGCACTCGAACATGATCGACGGCGTGTTACTACTCTTGTGTCCCGGTAAAGAGACGGCTAATCTTGGGAATGAATCGATCACGATCTGAAAACTCAAATTGTTTAAAGCATTGGTGAAAGCGACTTAGGCTGTAGGAAACACTCGGGCTACGATCACCCTAAATTCATCACTGCGGATGTCATTGAGATGGCTCGCAGTCATAGCAGGCTTTTAGCAGTAGCATGCGAGGGTTGTATATGGCTTGGTGGCTTTGTGATGAGCTTTTCTGGAAAGAGAGAATACTTGATTCCTTGTTGTAAAGAAGTACAGATCAGATCCGGTGGACCATGGATTGTGAAGTCGACGAATCAACCTCGGGCACACTTCACTCATCTGTAAGGAGTTGTTTGGCCATAGTATGATCTGACCGTGCCGGCGGGATTCCATTCCGCACCATCATCGTGTGATATCATATGTCAAGATGAAAGAAGCTTGGAGAATCCTTTGATCTCGTCATTTCGCCTTTACAACCCTTTACAGACGAGGAAGAGGAAGCTGGGCCAAGCAGCCTGTAAGTCACGGCTCTACAATTGTCACCATGAACTCTCCGTGAGTAATGTACATCCACTTGTCCCGATATATGCTGCAGAGATAGGAGACGACTAGCAGTCTGATGTTCCCTAACAACAATTCAGACTATCAAGTATATGTATGTGGGATCGATCGATCTACAGGCGGTGTGAAGAGTGGAATTTGATCATGGCTAAAGCTGAGGACTTTTCCGAATAAACTTCGATGCGACAGAGGCCAACTTTAGCATTAGCTGATTTCTGACATCGCTCCGAGAATATCGGTAAGCAGGCTATAAAAAGATGATCAGAAGGATCTTCCTGCTCATATTGACCTCCACTTGCATGGATCAGTTAGTCTCCATTGGGATTGTTTGGCAAAATAAACAAATAAACATCCATACAAAAAACATGATAACGGAAAGTGGGCGCTAGTTTGGCGCAAAGCTCAATACCCAGTGCTCTCAAAGTAACAAAGTATCATTAGGCATAGTAGTGCGTAGTGACTGATCTCTGCTATACCCAAGCTCCGATGATGCTTGAGTAGATAACTTATAGTTCCCCTCCATACTAGCCCATACAAGCCTTCGTCGTCAAAGGCGGAAAGCGGCCACGCAACTTGAGCCTCTTGGCACAGGTCATCCCGTCTCCACCGCCCAAAACAACCAAGAGAGCTTCACTCCACCAACATCGATTATTCTCCTTCTTTATCCCTCCCCATCGCACATACAGATATATCAGAACTGATCTTCTAAAGTGCGTCCGCATAACACGTCACCATGCGTCCCAAGTCCTCAAAACCCACAAATGATGAGCTTCTAGCTCAATTTGACGATTTGACCGTGGAGTCGGCCGTCGACCAAGAACCCTCCAAGACTGCCTCCAAACCCCCCGCTACTGCGACGACGCAGTCCGAACAAGACATCTTCGCTGAGCTGGACAGCCTGACTACTCAGCGTCCTAGCAGTGGCCCGGGTACCCCACGTGTATCGACCAACGAACCCCGTCCAGTTATCAAGTCACCCAAGCCCGCTCCAGTGGCTGCGACACCCGCAGCCGGTCGGGCCAGCGAGGAGAAACCCGTCCCGCGGAAATCGGGTGAAAGTGTGCGAGCCTCGGTCCCGGAAAACAAGAGTACCAATGTCATCAAACCTGAGTCAGAGAAAGTCGTCGCAACAGAGGCAGCTACATCCAGTGGCGGCGGTGGCGGTGGATGGTGGGGGGGCATTTTCGCAACTGCTTCGGCCGCCATGAAGCAGGCCGAGGCCGCTGTAAAGGAAATCCAGCAGAACGAGGAAGCGCAGAAATGGGCACAGCAGGTCAAGGGAAATGTCGGCGCATTGAGAGACTTAGGTATGATCTTCTGGAAGACTGTTTCAGATATGGACATGTATTGACTTCAGTTCCTAGGCGGCGAGCTTCGCAATATGGCCATTCCGACCTTCACATCCCTAATCCACACCATCGCTCCTCCGATCTCCTCTCATGAACGTCTCCAGATCCACATTACTCACGACCTTTCCGGATACCCCAGCATTGACCCCCTGGTCTACGCAGTCTTTTCCCGGGTGATGGCCCAGGTAGAGGGCGGCGATCTTCTCGTCATCCAGCGCGGCCAGGAGTCAGCGCCCAAGCGCGGACTCGATATCGGCGGTCTTCAATTCTCGGGACCCGGATGGCACGATGGGCCCTGGTGGCGGACGGTCACTCCCGGTCACCCTCGTACGCTTTCGGCCATCCGCGGCTCCGTCGAAGCCACCAAGCTCGCCCGCGCAAGCGCCGAAGCTTATGCCACCGAGCTCTTTTCCGCCCGGGGTGGAGTGGAGGAAGCTGCGAAACAAGCCACTCAAGATCTCAGCGAAAGCAACCCCGTCCGCAGTAGCGATATCTTCCTAGCCATCCAAGCCATCAGCCAGCCCACAGCGGCGGACCTCTTCCAGGCGGGCCCCACAACCGAAAAAGCCACCCCGCCAGGAGTCGTTGACGCCCCAGCCGAGACTGAGGACGAGGTGGTCTTTGCGCTATATCTCCACGACCCCATCCACGGCATCGCCTTCCACACACTCTCTCAGGCTGTTCCTCAGAAATGGATCGACTGGCTTGAGGCGACGGCGGCTCCCACTGACGACTCTGACAGCGAAGACGCCAACCTGCCTCAGACGGTCGTGCCCGAGGAAATCGCGGAGATTATTCAGGGCGGCGGCGTGGATCCCCGCGAATGGGCCGCCGAGTGGATCGAAGAGTCGCTTACTCTGGCCGTCGGAGTTGTCGCGCAACGCTACGTTGCCCGACGCATGGGTGTCGGCGAGAGGGCTGCGGCTAAGGGAAAGATGCGTGCTGAGCAGGCCTCGGTGGTCGAGAGCGGTGCAGGTGAGGTAGCGCGGGCGCTGTAGGCATCAGGGTAATGTCTGCCACGGTTCCTGGTGTCTATTGTTTTTTGTTCTTTCTGTTTCAGTTTCTTAAGCTCCTCATGACCCATATGATATTCTCGCAAATGATACTCCTGCCGACTGTTTGGGTTCTATTCTTCATTCCTTGTCATAAAGCCCCATATGATATTACCAGCCATCTTGCTATTGCGCCATAGCCGGCGTACCAAATTCATCCCTCCATCTGATTAGCGCAACATCCGCATACTGAAGCAGAAATATGACCAAGAAAGTCTGCATAATCCTTATCATGATTGAATGTTGGACAGAAATCTATTTTTCCTTCCCAAGCCCCTTCAAACAGACAATCAAAGCCATCGTATATATATCGAGTTCTTTTCCAAGATCCAGTCGAACATAATGCAGCGTAGAACCAGAAGTAAAAAACCAAAGAACCGTTGCGGGTATCTAAATGTCGCAAAAGAAAAGAGGACGTTGTAATCATCCGATCCCGTCCCATGCATGAAAGGTTGTCGTTTTGTTGTTCCTCCCTCCCCCTTATCCAATTATGCATATTGATCAAATCGTGATATATATTGATTTTATGCATCATCATCATCATCATCATCATCACTCCAACTCCAAAGTTCCCTCCAAGCCAGGAACATGCCAGAAGTTCGCGCGAAGGGCGGTGACACTATGCGACAAGGGAAAACCACCGGAATTAGCCCAGTAACTCTCAAGAATAAATGCGAGTTGAATCGGATAACGAGTTGCAGCACTCGCCGCTCGCTCTTCTCTCACGATCGCGCGCCTTGCTCGTTGCCCAATGATGCAAAAATCAAAGCTTGCTTGCTTACCTGGTACTCCCATTCAGCACGGTATGCGCATCCGTCCCCTCCTCACTGGCCTGCAGCGCTTTCTTCATATCCAACAGCTGGGCGCCCCATTTGAAGTCCCGTTGCCTGAGTGTCGTTGCGGGTCGTTGCTGCGTCTCCGAGACTCCGTTGACTTGTTGGGTTTGTTGCGTGGAGTTGTCCGCCTCGGCGTATAGGTACCCGTTGGCCCAGTAGTAGGGGAGGGTGCGGGTCCACAGCACGGGCCGGGACTCGACGTCCTCGCGCATGGGGACGTTGATGTTGTAGAGCTCGACGCGCTCGTCCCAGTGGGCGATCAGGTGGTTGACGACGCGCACGGCCAGGCGGGCGGCGGCCGCGATGACGAGCGCGGGCTGCTCCTCCTTGCTGCCGAAGGAGATGGCGATGCCGCGCTTGCCGCAGGTGGCGGCCTCGAGGGCGCCGCCCACCGTGCCGGACGAGAGGTTGTAGATCGTGGAGGCGTTGCGGCCGTGGTTGGGGCCGGAGATGACCAGGTCAATGGGGGGGCGATCGGGGAAGAGGTTGAAGAGGCCGAGTTGCACGCAGCTGGCGGGCGTGCCGTTGGTGATTACCACCCATTCGTCGTTGGGGTTGCCGTTGCTGGTGGTTGCGCTGGTTGTAGTTGTGCCATTGGGGGAATCGGTGTCATTGTCATTGGCCCCGGCGTGGGTGTAGGTCTCGTTCCAGGTGCCGTCGTTGTGGAAGGCTTGCGGCGGGACGTAGGTGGCTTTCAGGGAGGCTTCGATGAGATGTGCCTTGCCGATCCAGGAGCGGGAGGCGGCTGGGATGGCGACGGAGACGAGGTGGCCCGTGGCTTGGAGGGCGGAGACCAGCGGTTGGATGTATGGAGACAGGCGGCGCGAGGGAGGTCCGTCGTCGTTCACAACCTGTGGGAGCGGGAAGGCAGATGGGTTTTAGTATGGGTCCTTTTCTTCATTCAGGTGGGTAATCGAGGTGGTGATGGCATTTGTTGGGATATCTTTTTTTTTTCTTTTTTGGAGCGCAAGTAAATCACGGTTCAATTGATTGGATTGAGGAGGAGAAGCATGAAGCATACCAGGATATGCATGTTGAGTAAGTTGATTGGTACTGGCTTGTACTTGGAATGGTATGAATGGTAAAGTACTATAGTAGTATAGTATAGGCAGCCCTGAGTCGATAAGTTCAGGCTAGACTCGGCTTGCTCGCTTTGGGTCGGTGGACGTCGATGAAAAGGGTTTAGTGCGGATAATAGGCGGAGTTTCGACTCATACGTAAGAACTTCTCCCCTGGAAACTCCAATTCGGTATTCGACGTCCTACTGGGCCGGATTTTCCCCAGACAAAAAGAACAAAAAGAAGAAGAAAGGCATCCTGCATTTATAGGGTCGATCTGAGACTGGGCAATATTCAGCCCCGGAGAGACCAATTCCGTTCGTTTACCCTTCCAGACCCCATTTTACCCCGACCGGCGAAGAGAAACCGGGGAGAATTGCAACCGTATCTCGAATCTGGTCACGGTGAAGCTCTTGATGCTGCGGGGGGGGCCGATGGAATGGGCAGGTCTCGGGAGACTTGGTATTGTCGGTGTGACGAGCGCAGAACAGTCGAACTTGCAGTGGTGGGGGCTGTGTCCAGGGGGAAAATTACCATCCGAAACCAAGCATTACCAACGGGAAGCCGAGGGTCCGCCAAAAAGAGTCTGCGGTGAAGCTGGCAACACCGTCTGTAGTCGGCTTCGTGGGGAAACACATTCCGATCAGCCACGAATCGTTCGATTTCTAATGGTAAGAGAAAGGGAATTCTGGCAGAGAAACGCGGCAGTGACTTTGTGCGACCGGCTGAGGGAGTTCACACCGGCTCAATTGCACCTCAGTCCACGGTATATATAACCGGGTGCTGTCCCGGTGGCAGAATGAATAACCACTGGATGGTCTTATAAGTAGACGCTGGAGATCGCTAGAGCTGGGGGTGTGTTATGTTCATATTCTTTGACAAACTCAGCTCAATACGCCAGAGCCCTCAAACAGCAGACCGGGACCCTAGTCGAGGAGATTGAAGGGCACCTGGGAGCAATTCAACTCAATTGTGAAGGCGCAAAGGGCAACAGCATCGACTCGGACATTATAGTCGAGGTGCATGTCTAGGGCATGGAGCAGACCAGGCCACAACAGCATTTACGTTCATGTTACCACCAACCCACGGAGCAGCTGGATATCTACAGACACATATCAGCCCGTCAACTTTGTGTAGGGTCTCGCCTATGCATCAAACACATGCACAGAACCATTGCCTTGTGCTGTGTACGGGGTAGCTGTGTGTGGTCTTAATTACTAAGATCTAGGTCAAATTGTGCCGTCATCTACGGATCGGCCGGTCTCTTATCAAGAAAATTTTCTTCTTGTTGGCAGTCAAATGGTAGACCCTGATGGGGCCACGATAGATTTTGCAAGGACTATTGCACAAGAGGAGAGGGGCTTCTAGAATCGCTTCCAAACGGTCCTTGATTTGTGATTGCTGGGTCCTTATGGTATTCTTAGTAGAAACGCCGTCCGTTCCTTGCGGCGGGGCTACGATGGAGCCCAGCAAGCCTCAAAGTACGTAGTACCAACCACCTTCTGCCCTGCCCCTACGGTCCTTACCATTCTTTGAATCCTTGAGGCTTGAGGTCTTGAGAAGTTTAGGTAGAACCTTCAGGCGACTAACCTCATCACGCCGCACGGAGGACATCAGCCCGTGCCGAACTTCCCATCAATACGCAGAATCATAATACTTGATGGAGTATTTCCACTGAATCTCTCGCGTAATCTCCATCTGTCATGTCAGGCTCGGAGTTCTCGGAGACACTATCAGATCGTATATCACATCACGCCAGGGTTAATTAGTGGTCGGTGGTCAGGAGGTGAGATGCATGAGTCTCCATCCTCAATCCTCATTCCCCAAGGTTGCAGGACGGGACTTGTATAATAATAGCCGACACTAGAAAGAGGATCTTCTGGCGAACGAAGAGTGGTTTCAGACACGGTTCAGATAATTTGGATGATCCACGGCAGCAGCAAAAACCCCTCTCCTGCCAAGAAGCCATCCATGCACGCACACACAACCCATTGTGTATGAGACTATTCGTAACCCTTTGTAGATAAAACCCAGATATCAACATACTCGTGTCCATGCATGCATGCATCTCGACCTTTTGGATCACAATCACAAACTACCGGTCAACTAGGATCAGTTCGACCCAGAAATAGTTGATCTGCCAAGATTCATAGTCGAGCACCAGGCAAGAAACCTGCAAGCTGACTGGTCTGTGCGAAAGGAATTGTTGCGGCAAGACATCGACGTATGTGTGTAGTGAGGCCGATCGCCGCAGCAGCAAAATCTTTGGTGGGGACATTTCAGCATTTCAGTATTATTATTCAACTCAATCACTCCGACCCAAACCAAACCAAACTAAACCAACCCAGACAGAGTCAGCCACGATCTTTCGGTTTGATTTTCCTGCTTGCGCCATCAGACCATCATCATCTTCTTCTTCTTTCTCCTTCTCCTCTCCCTCCTCTTCTCCTCCTCCTCCTCCTCCTCATCAATATCAACTACGACGTCCATCCCATTTCCCCTCCATCATCCGTCCTCCGCTATCGCAAACCCAAGCCCACCCGCCTCGCCGAGTGTGCTTTTTCCCGCGCGACTCTCCGCCGGTTCCCAACAATCTGGGAACGCGCTAGAGTTCTGGCCAGCTCTTCGAGGTCTTATTAAATCATCCCTCGCAGACCCTGTATGGACTGCGGGAGTACTGGCAACGCTGCGGGCATTGACCCCAAAATCCTCGAGACCTGGCAAACTGACAACTTTCCTATCTCTGCGTACGAGCATCCGGGCTACGAACAACCGCAGGAGTGGGATACGAGCCAAGATTCCAGCCAGGGCGATGCCGATATCGTCGAGATAAATGGCCCTCATGGCTCCCTCTCGCGGGACCAGTCCACAATCTCAATGGTCGGACAGCCGGATGACTATCAGGGCAGTGACTACAGGTGCGGTTATCTCAGCTGTTCCCCTCTTCTGAACCCCTTCGGCTGATGCGCGAGCCGCCCCCCTTGCAGTAAACAACCAGGAATCTCCACCCCCGACAAATTCAGCATAGTAGATGGCACAATCTCCGGCACTGTCAGTGCCACTATCAGCCCTAGAACGCTGCCTTCCTCCGCCGATGACAACTTCCAGCTGGATGAGTCATGGCCGCCTTACCACCTGTTCAACGCCATTTCGGTTGGCATTCCCGGCGAAGCTGGTCTCCTCTATCCATACGCCAAGGAGCCTGTCGCCTCCACCAACACGGTCATTGTCGAAGATCCTGGAGACCTGTCTCAGGGACAAGGATTTTCAGATGTTGCCTCCGATCAGTTCGTGCCGTTCCAGCCACTGCCGCCGTCGTTTTCCTTCCCCCCACCGGAATACTGGTCTGAACAGCCCGCCGCCACTGCTGAAAACATTTCCCGCCAGACTCCGATGTCGCTCGCAATGGGCTCGCAGTCAGCGACTAAGGGAATGCGCAGCTATCACGGGCATGTACGGTCTCTGGATTCACGCTGGCTAGATAACTTGGAGGCTCAGTTACCAAGCAACATGACCTCCCCTGCGTCAATGACGATGCCGCAGGAGTCCCCCTACTTCAAAGAAGAACCCAAAAATCAAGACGGATTTCAGTACAAGTCGGAGAGCTCGTCAGTGTCTGGGGATTTCTCCAACATGTACGACCCTTACTCGGCTACAACGGATGGCATCCCCGCTTTTGCCGACCGACAATTGGATGATGAATGGAAGGATGCGCGAAATGATGGTTCACCATCTGACGCAGCGCAACCCCTGCAGAACGCTACTGCTTTCATGGTCAGCGAGAACCCGGCGGAATCATACTACGTTCCGGTCGATTCTCGGCCGAGAGCGTCTTCTGCCGCTCAGCGAGCGCCTGCACGCCCACAGGCTCTATCCATGCAGTCGGTCGCTACGGTTCGAAAGCGCAAGCAGCGCAACCTTAGTGTGAACCTGGATCAGGCACAACCCAAACCACTGCAGATTGTGCAGGAGGATGGCCAGGGCGGTTCCATTGCCTCCGCTGACTTCATCTCTCCGCCACGTGGAGCACGCCGCAAGGGGCCTCTGTCTATGGTCGGAAGGGCAAATGCTGGATTGCGAAGAAAGAACAAGGACACGTGTGTCCAGTGCCGATTGAACAAGCGCAAGGTTCGCATTTCACAAGTGAAACACCCTTATCCGGTAAAATAGCTAATGCCGAAGACAGTGCGATGGGAATGCTCCTTGCGATGCGTGCCGCCCTACGCTGCATGAACAGCCTTGCGCTCGCGCCTGCTTTTCCAACATCGTTGAGTATGGTGTTTGCAATTATATCTGTACGTGCCACGATCTAGTTGTCGATTTTGCAACCTGGCTAATCTTATCAGCTCAACGAGCGGTCAATCACCCCACCCTGGATGGCTCAAGGCGAGTGCGGATGGAAATCCCTTCCGAATTCGATCTGAATGATTTGATCTCATTCCTCGGCGAACGCCAAGGCCGGTTCAACATCCGCGCCAGCCAGTCCTGGGGGTCTCTTTATACCCTGGATTTGGCGGAGACCTATCGGTTTTTGCGTGGATTGAGCGAGTATAATGGCAACTCGAAGTCGACCTTCCTTGAGTTTGTTGACCGACGACTCGTCGAGTCGAAAGACAAATCGAAGAATTGGCTCACGTGCGTCAAGGACTGTGATCCAATGGCCAACACTTATGTATGTCAGTCCTACTAAGGTCCGAAGCCTTTCACTAATGTTCCTCGACAGACTCTTCTCGCGAAATGGAACAACATGCCTAGCCGTGCGAGCTACAGCATTGTTCCTCTTCAAGCGGGTGAAGCCGAGAGACCAATGAACATTGATGACGCTGAAGATAGGCGAGAAATTCTCATGGCGGCCCAGTTGTCGCGCATCATCTGCCGTATGCTTGAAGTTGAGGGATTCCGCAAACTGGAACGCGACTTCTACAACATCAAGTGGAAGCAGATCTCTCAGGATACGCACCTGCGATTCCTCAACGAACTCGGCCACATACTGCTGACTCTACGTTGGCGCATGTCCTGGTGGAAGCAGCTCGGAGATGGTGGTCGCGAACCTGACCCCAGCAAACAGCACTACGTCGATCGGGTTCATCTACTGTGCAGGATCCTTTACGTTTACTACACTTGTGTGATGGCGAAGCTTCCTTCATGGTCCGCCTCGGAGGTGCCCAAGGGGACGTGGTCTACGTATGCGGACTCGGAGAACCCTGTTTGGGATGATTTCCCTAGCGATCCCACTGACGACGGCTTTGCTCGCTGGGTTGAGCACGGGCAAGAGCTGATCGAGCAGTCGGGGGCTCCGGTCCGGATGTCGAAGATGTGAACAGCCCTTCCACAAGGAGGCAAAAGAAGCGCCGGAGTGACTGATACTGACTGCACTTGAGAGATACCCTTTTGAAGCGTGTTTTGTGTTTTGTGTTTTTTTTTTCTTTCTCGAAGACGATGATGATTGATGATTGTTGATTTGTTTGGTACCTGGTCACCTGTACATTTTTTTTTGGACATATGACTACTCTTCTCATACATAATCTTCTTTTTATTTTGTTTCATGAAATAGATCTACATCTATATAGAGTTCGGGTGTCTTTCATCTCACGTACAACAGCCTGCGTAAAACAATGAAGCACCAACGAAACCCAACCAATAAAGCCGAAGCAGCCCAAGCGGCCAGATCCAGATAAAAAAGGGTATCTAATTTCATTACTCGTATGTATGTGTCCTATTTCCCCTCCAAAGATTTAATATGTATATCCCTCCTCGCCTCGGCTCGATCATCTTTCAACCGAAGCCACCTTCCACTCCGCCGCCCGCTTCCTCCGAACCAAAAAAATGAAATCATTTCCCGCATATCACTATTTCTTCCCCTTGGCAGCACCCGCCTTCTTATCCTTCTTCCCACCGGCCAACAACTCCAGGTGGCCCGCCTTCTCGGCGAGATTCTTCTCCGTCTGGGCGGTCAATCCGGCCGTGAGTTTCTGTTTCACCGAAGGAGAGGTTAGTTTAGCCAGTTTCGGGACAGGGTTCGGGCTTCCAAGTTGGGCTTGGGTGTATGTAGTCTTTCGTGATAGACGTTAAGAAGAGGGGCAGGCGACGAACCTTGGTCAATTTCTGCTGCTTGATGAGGGAAGCTTTCTTGGGGGCGATCTGGCGGGGACCGCGTTTGGGGGCCAGGGCTGTGGGACTTTTGATTCAGATTTGAAGTTAGTCTCTGGATGGCTTCTTGTGATGTGTGCGCTTGCGGATTGTATTGTCTGATTGAAAGGGAGAGGAGAGGGGAATTTGGTAATTGGGGGTAAATGCTAGAAGGTGGCCAGATGTAGGTAGTAGGTAGGTAGGTAGGTAAGGTGTACCGTTTTGAGGTCGAGCCGCCCGAGGGCTTGGTCTTCTTGAGGGATCCTTGGACCATTTTTTTTTGAGGTTGTTTGAGTACACTGCCTGCAGCGATGGGTTTGAGATGAAATTTGGGGAGGGGGTTGCAAGGTGCTGTGAGGGGAGGCGCTGTGATGGATTGTGGTTGCTGGGTTGGGATGGGGATGGGAAAAATTGCTTATCGCCGGAGTCGATCGATCTTATCTGTCACGTGATAATATGTGGTTTCCTGTTTGGGGGCCGGGGGTGGGGGGGTTGGACCTCGCTCCGATGTATACATACATTCTCTTGGATTTAGTTGGGAGTTTGAGTTTGGTTCTTGCTGGGTTGTGTTTAAGGTTCTTGTGCTGTCGATGGAGGTTTCAAAAGGAATTGGTAGATTATTGCCTCGATCAGTGTGAGTTTTGTTAATGATGATCCAACTGGCATGATTTGGTTCGGGTGAGGACGTTGTATATTGTTCGACAAGTGTAGGGGGTGGGGGGAAGTTCCTGGGCAGCGAGCGATGCACACACGTCCTCTTTCTAGAAATCGGCATACACTACCAACTCATAAAGTCTATTAAAGACTTTCAGTCACGGTAGGAGCTCTGGAGACGTTGGTCACACCAACACGATAGACTAGCCAGCTAGTGGTTGAAAGCTTCGCTGGTAATGCGCTCTTGGTGTGTACGATCAATGCCGGTAGTTGGTCGCAGACATGGGCGGACCAACAAATTCATCAGCCTGTAAACTGTAGGAGTAGGTACGCAGAAGGTGCTCTTCCAGCCACCAAGACCTCACTCCCTGGCGTGACGCCCAGCAGACCTAAAACAACCAGATATCTCTGCTGTCTCCCAAGTTCCAACAACACCAGACGACAGTATACGTATACGCAACGACCGGAAAGTCCCGAGCCGCGATTAACCTCCCTCCAGTGGAAATTTAAATGTGTAGTGGCATGGAATAGATTAATAAAAGAAAAGTGCTAACCAAGTAAAAGTGCCTCCCGCGCCCGTTAAGACAATCGTGTTCTACTCAGTACTAGTGATCGATCCCGTCCCACAACGTGCATGTCAGCCTTGGAAGGAGAACCAAATCTCCGACCCAGCCCCGTTGGCAATTTCCAGTTTCTTAATGGTGGGTATTAAGCTGATCGTGGATCATTCGAGTAAGTGTCACCCCCGAGGGGCTGAATTCATTAGGATGAAACATTAGTGGGAGATCAAATAAGTACAAAGGGTCACCAACCCAACATCCCCCATCAAAGTTGCAAGTTATTTGCTTGGGCAGATTGACGGCAAACATACATTTAAAACATCAAACACAGGGGCAAGGAGGGTTCCTGGTTTTTTTTCTTGTTTGTTGGTCATCAGATATCTTCTCCCTTGGAGGTTCATTCATGTTGTCAAAATAAAGGGGGGTATAACTGAGAACTAGAATAGAAAAGAAATCATGTCGAAGAAAGGTAATTCCACATGCGGGGGAGGCATTGGGGAAGGGGGGTTGTCTTGTACAGAAAGATAAAAACAACAAAGCTTAATACATCCGAAGTTCTTAGAAATTTGTCCTGGTCGAATAAGTATCAAAGCAATATGAACAATCAAACTAAGCTTCATCACAGCTGCAAATCCACATCACTGCCAAGCTCAAGCTCAAGCTGGACCAGTTTAGATGGCAAGGACGGCAACAACACCGGCAGCCAGGGCGCCCATGCCCAGGTTCATGGCGTTGCGGTCAGCAGCACCGGTGAAAATGGGGGAGACGGAGGAGGAGCTGGCAGCGGGGGTGCCGGAGGGAGCGGCGGAGCTGGAGATGACACTGGAGGGCTTGGAGGTCACGAAGCCGGTGGGCTTGATGACGGGGACGGAGGTGGCAGCGGGCTTGGTGGCATCAACCGGCTCGGCGACAGTGGAAGTGGTGGCGGCGCTGACGGCAACCTCGGTGGTGGTAGCGGCAGCAGTGGTGGTGGCAGCGGCCTCGGTGACAGCGGAGGTGGTAGCGGCGGCAGTGGAGGTGGCGGAAGCGACAGCGGACGAGGACGAGTAGTAGGGGTTGGTGATACCGAACTGGGTGGAGTACTGGTACTGGCCAGTGCCCTCGACGACGAGAAGGAGACCGTAGTGGGTGGTCTCGGGCGCCAGATCAGTGCTGGGGGTCCACGAGAAGCTGCCGGTGTTTTCGATGTCCTCGGCAATCGCATACAGGGTCTGCATGTTGGTGCTGGGGCCGTGGAGGAGGACCAGAGAGATCGTGCCACTGGTGGTGGGATCCCAGGTGACGCTGTAGGCCTTGCCAGCCTCGACCTGGTCGTTCAGGCCAGGAGTGTAGATGGCATTGCCAGTGGGGCTCTGGGTGTAGTCGGGCTGGGTGTAGGCCGAGGCCAGGGCAGCAAGGGCAGAGATGACGGCGAAGAAACGCATTTTGATTTGGTTTAAGGTGTTTAGGTTTTAGAGGGGGAGAAATTCCTTCGTGAAGAGTGAGTGAATCAAGGAGTGACTGGAGTGGGTTAAGACTCGAGATTGTTTGTAGTGCAAAAGAGTGACTACCGTGGGAATGATGTGTAAAGAACGAAGGACACGAAGGGTGGGTTGAGAAGGAAGAAAGAAGGAGAAGAGAAGAAAAATGAACGAGGGAGCGGGGGGAGGTTTAGAGATGATATGTGAAATGCGAAATTAGTGAACAATACTCAAGAGGAGGAGAGAGAGCGAGAGAGAGCATAGCCCCCTCCGTCATCTCACTCCATCTCTACTACGGAGTACAATGATACGGACTTACCCCTATGGAGGGGGCGAGAAGGAAAAGCTTCCAGGCTGCCAGACCTTCAACCTGGCCCAATCTGCGGCTCATTTGCGATGGTGGGGCAGAGTGAAATTACTTCTGCGACGGATGAGTATGTTAGAACTTAGTGAGATACCCAGATGATACATATTTACCTGAGTCCATACATACATACTACGGATGACTTACCCGGTCCAGGGTTGGGGGATGCCAGGCCAAAACCCTGAAGAGCCGTGGAATGTATGGCTGCAAGCCTCTTTAGCCACTCCGAAACCCCGTCTGGATTTCCTAGTAAGATTTAGCGATGTCACCTCAGTGTGATCTCTGTCCTCCCACTGGCTCATCCAGCGGATTAGTCTGAGGATTAGCTGTATTAGCTCGCTTGGATCCCAGCATCGCCGCCATCGCTTGTTGCTGGACGGGGAGTAACCAGTCCGTTCCATCAATAGGTAGTCTATGCTACCAGCACTGGGCGGGTAATTTCAACTGAATGACCGACTGACTCAACGAGAACAAGAATAGGGGATGGCCGACATCCGAGGACGGAGGCGAAGAGTGTTCTCGCCTGAATGAAGCCGAGTGTTGATGAACTAGAATCGTTAGTAGATAGAACTAATCCAGGCACCCACGGTACCAGACTGGATGGAGCCATAGATCATGGAGTCGGGGGGGGAAGTCTAACAGAGTCTAAGAGTGTACAAGTGAAACACACATAACCTTATGTGCGAGCCAGCTCAGGAACAGGGACAGATCACGGCAATATTAGTGATTTGTTATTGTTATTATTTTATGATTCACATGAACAAGGACGGTAGAAGAGGTAAAAGAGGCCGAAAGGCAAAAAAAGAGAACTTGGAAGTGGCACGCGGTGGGCGGCGGCAGCAGCAGCAGCAGCAGCAATGGATTCTGCCACATCCTTCCTACTTCCTCATTCTTTCCAATTGTCCGGATAATGTCCGGTTCTCCTCTCAGACCCCTCAGACCCTCAGACCACCAGACTCTCTTATTTCTCGCCAGCTGAGCCTGTGATTCCATTTCATCCAAATTAGATCTTACACTGCCTTGTCTGCCAGTCAAGCCCAGGCCTCCAGGAAATGAGGCAGGCGCCACGAGGTCGGAGCGTTGCACAAATTGGATGGCGACATTGGCTCCAGGGAAAACTCCGATTCTCTGGGCGTGCAGGCAAAAACACTAAAATCCCACGCCAAGCCGACTGTGAAATCCACCTTCGTTCAACCCCACTATCTTGACTTTTTGACCTCGGAGTTCAGCCAGGTTTGTTGACTGCTCACTGTTGGTTGACCATTAAGCCTGGTGATGATAACGCACTGTGCTCTCTTCATTGTCCGACCGTTGATCCGCGCATTCTTCCAGGAGCTACATAGTAGGATGTTCATTTGAAACAATCATCTGGCCGAGTGAGACTTTGTGAGAATGATGATCGCTGATCACCGATTTCCTCCAGTGGCACATGAAGTCATCTCTCATCCCACACAAGTTCACAACGGCCCTACCCTCGCCGCTGATTTTCAGGTTCCGTTCCTGTCGCTCATTTCTCGTTCCTGACCGGGTGGGTGGGGACCCTGTCCGAGTGGCAGCCAAACACAGCCCTGGATCCTGGACACCGCAGAAACTTTCAGCGCAATGGATGACAGACTTGCGTCCCCCGGCCAATGATCGCATTTAATGCTGATTCTACAAAAACCTCATCCGTCATCCAGCACCGTTCCTGAGGGAGGGCTGGCCTTCTGCCCTCCCCATTGGGCAAGTAACACGAGGTCAGCACCAGAATAAGCAACAACTTGACCTCACGGCAATGTTTGTACGAACTAGATGCTTGATGCGTACCGCCGGGAGTCTTTTCAGGGGTCCAGGGCGGTCCGACCAAAGAACAAAATAAATACCCACGTGCCTTTCAGAGCAGAGATCTTCCTCTCCTGCGAGTAGGTAGGGTCCTCTTATCTTACAGGCTTACAGTATAGCTAGGGTATCGGACTACTGCCTATGTCTCGGATCTGATCGCAAAGTGCGACCTGACTGATAGAACTAGTTCCTTTACAAGTGGGGGAAGAGCTGGCCACGGGGGCCTGAACTGGCTTAGTCGGCTATGCAGGGCCGGTTCACCGTGTCGGTTGTTTCCTAATTCAGATGACTTGTCTTACTCTCCTCCGAGCTTGGCAAGCCTTGTGGGAAAATATATGTCTATTTACGGTACTCTTTCATCGCATTGTGTGACAGAATATTGGAATACGATCGGGAATACACCCGCGCGAAAGCGGCTGTGACACAACAGGAACAATCAATCCCAACACAAGACCACAGTCTTACGGCACATTGCAGCCTCGGGTGCACTCGTCGCAAAATTTCAAGGGTCTGACACGCTGCCGAGCTACACCAAGGACTTAGCGCCTGAATACGGGAACTCAGTTGGAGGAATTCGTATGATTAGGCTCTACCCTGTCGAACCCTGCCGTAAGTGGGTATCGTAACAAAGAAAACATCCTAGACCGTCGCTGTAATCCTGCCAGCAAGGGTCCCAATGGCTTAACTGAGAAAGCCCGTCGCCTCGACCCGATCCCTCCTTTTGCGACGACGGAAAGGCCGGCCTCGACCCCGGGTTTGCAAGCTATGTGCCAATAACCATGGTTCGTTGCGTATGGATCATGCGGTCCGGACAGACTATTCCACCCAAGTCACAGTCTTGGTTTGCAACCACTCATCATAACCACCCACACCTCCGAAACGGCCGTATCCGCTACTCTTCCAGCCGCCATGCGGAAGGACCGGCTCGTCGTGCACAGTCAAGGAGTTGATATGAACAGCCCTAGGTCATAGCAAGAGAGGTTAGGGACAAATACTCCTAAGCAAAGATACCGATCGACTTACCCGGCTTCGATCTGTTTGGCAACCCTGAGTCCTCGGAACAGGTTGCTCGTAAATACCGCAGAAGTAAGGCCGTACTCTGTGTCGTTAGCCAGGGCTACAGCTTCCTCCTCGGTATCAACGACAAGTAAGGACACGGTGGGGCCGAACGACTCCGTGGCATAAAGATCCATGTTCTTGGTGACATCGCCTACAATGACCGGCCGCATGCTGTTGCTATTAGAATCGATGCCTTGGGTCTGTCCGTAAATAAGATTGGCGCCCTTGGAAAGTGCGTCCTCCACCAACCCCTTATTCTTCTTCACGGCAGCCGAATTCACGAGGCCCAGCGGCGGCACATGCTTTCCGAATACCTTTTCGGACGCTTCGGCCACCAGCTGCTTGAACCGGTCGGCGACCGATCGCTGCACAACAATGCGTTCGGTGGACATGCAGATTTGACCGGACTAACCTCTCATCAGAAAAAGTCACACGTAGGCTGAGTGTCAAGTAGGTGATGGTCCTTACATGCAAAAATGCTCCCATGGCGCAGCACATCGCAGCCTTCTCCAGATTGGCATCGTCCAGAACGATAGCGGACGCCTTCCCACCCAATTCAAGAAGAACCGGCTTGACATACTTTCCGGCTGTGGAGGCGATAATCGAGCCGACGACAGTGCTGCCGGTGAAGTTGATCTTTCGCACGGCCGGGTGGGCGATGAGAGCAGTGGTCACGGCTGCGGCATCCGAAGTCTGATGGAAGACCACGTTCAGACAGCCTGCAGGAAGACCCGCCTCACGAAAGATGTCTCCAATCGCCCAGAAGCATTTCGGTGCTAATTCGGAGCCTTTCAAAATCGTCGTGTTACCAGCAGCCAGAGGCAGAGCCACTGCGCGTACTCCGAGAATATATGGTGCATTCCTGGTTCGGGAGTTAGTTCATGATCAGATGATCAACCGACCGCTTCAGATAAGACGGTCGTGTATAGGGAGGTGAGTACAGTACCAAGGCGCAATGCCCAGAACCACTCCGTAGGGCTGCTTGATGACCATGGCAGATTCTCCATTGACCGAAGGCACCGCACCCTCCACGGACGGGATCAATGCCGCAAAATCCTTCAAAAACCCGACCCCCAACATAAACGTTTTCTCCACGAACATCCGTCCCGCCCCGGTAGAATCCATCTGATATCGAATCAACTCCTCCTTCCGGGAAAGCATGATATCCGCCGCCTTGTTCAGGATGTCTCTGCGGTCGGAGGGTTTTGTCTGGCTCCATGCGGGGAAAGCAGCCTTCGCGGCGGCCACAGCACGGTTGGCATCGTCGACGGAGGCGCCGGCGCAACGGTCAATGACTTCACCCGTCGTGGGGTTCTTGACGTCGAATGCGACATCGGTAATGACCGATTCGTTGTTGACAATCAGGGGGATGATGGCCGGCAGACCGTTAGTGTTGTTCTTAGCGATCATCGTGACTTCAATGATCGACCGATTGTGAATCTCTCAAAAGGAAAAAGTTGGTGGCGACCAAAGTTGGTGGCGACCAATGCCGAGGTGGGTGGGAGAGAGACTTCGGACGACCCAGCGGACAGTGGTAAGAGATACAGGGCAAGGTCCGAGGGGAGGGGGGTGTTGTGTTTATATCAATTGACTAGAGAGGGGGTGACAGATGAGTGAGCAATGATCCAGGAGAAGAGTTGGGGTAGGCAGCGCAATTATTTGTCGGTTGCTGACGCTTGTGTTGTGTAGCTGCAGCCACCGAAGTGAGGGGATGAAAATG